AGCCGCAGGGCGCCAGTGAAAATGACACGAGTGGCGCAGTCAAGGTGGGCAAGTGTCTTTTTCCTTCCGTTGAGGTCTGTTAGCTGCGCGTTCGGCAAAAGCGTCGATGCCTCGCAGGTGACCGGATGAGAAGAGCTTGCCTTGGCAGCCCCAACCATTTTATCCGCCGCGAGCAGCCAGCCGGCTCAGCACGTCACCCAGGCTGACGCAAATACTTATTTTCGCAGCGGCGTACTTCCTCTCCCGAAACGGCGTTTCGGCGTGATGCCAGTCCTGCGGCCACCTTCCAGAGACAAGAGACGCAGCACCGCACTCGCCAGCACCCCGTCTTCGCACCCCCCACGCAGAGACAGTGGCACTCGCGCACCGGCGCCGCGGTTTCGCGAGGGAAGGCGGAAAAAATGGTATGCATGAATTCCGCGTAGCAGTGCGGGACGCCCGCGCAGACGTCCTCCTCCGCCACCGCGTCTCACGCATCGAAGCCGATGCGCGGTCAATCTCCAGTGCAGCAGGGAGAACGCAGCCCGCCACATCGCCGCAGAAAAAAAAACACACAAAAAGAACGCTGTTGACGCTGCGACAACACGAAGTAAAAAAAAAATGAAAAGAGGGAAGAGGGAAAAAAAAAGCAAAGGCCACAAGACTAGCGCGCGGCTGCAGACACCGTCGCCCCAAACGTCCGGCCCCCTCACTTTTCACCCATTTACGAAAGGGGGTGATTCAGCACCCACCAACGCACCCACCTCCTCTCCTTCCCATCGCGGTCACCGGAACATCCCCACCCCGCCAGCTGCCGCCGTGGGCAGGATGCGACAGCTGCGTCCCACAGCTCCACTCAAGAGGCGCCCCGCACAAATACAAGTCGCCAAACACGCATGCACCTCACCGAGGTACCTCCTTCGCCGCCGTGTATGGAGGCTGAGGCCGCGGGGCTGGTTTCTCCCAGCACAAGGTCACATGCATGGGGCAAACTCCCTCCTCCCCCGCCCGAGACACTCCTGAAACGACCAGGCAGTCACAAAACACAAGCGGCATGAAACTGAGAGTCGTCGCCGACGGCAGCCGCTGCTGGCTGTGCGGCACCTCACGGATGAAGGCCCCTGTTGGGCCACGTCGCCACACACGCACGCGCACGCATAAACCTATACGATAAGGGTGACCGCACACACATGAGCCGAGCCCTCTCTCCTCTCACTCCGCCGGAAAGGTGTGGAGGAGAAAGCAAACAACAAAAAACACTAAGTGATGAAGCAACAGGAGAAGTGCACCGAACCGGACGGCACCCACCCCCTCACCCACGCGTGTGACGGCACCACGGCTCTCCCGCGAAGAAGAGGAATGATGGTCCAGCAACAAATATCATAAACAGGCCTGGGCCGCCACACCGACCCCATCCACCTAACCTGGCACAACACAACACACACGACGGAAGAAACCTATAAAAACAAAAAAAAGTGTTCGTAAAAATATTTCCTTAAAAACGTCTAACAAACAAAGCAGACAAAAAAAAGCGTCATGTTCACATCGATGCAGGAAAAACGTGGACCTCTGGTTAATAACTACGGGAAGGCACCTCGTGCGCTGCCTGCCCCCCGAATACAACGCCGCGTGGCGGGCACCAAAGTCGTGATCCGGCGGCACAAAAAGAAAAGTAAAAAAAAAAAACTCAACAAATCCCTTTGCCTACCAGCCTTATCTACCTTTAAACAACAAAAAATAAAATAAAAGCTAAATAAATCGCTGGACATTAAAATACGAAACCTCCGTCACGTTTTCGCTCAAATTCCCCTCAGCCGTTCCTCAACAATGAGTAAAGCAGCTCCCTCTGAAGCTACTGCAAAAATCACCCGCATGTGCTGCGAGCGCGGGCACCCACAGACTCGTCACAGACACCACCGCGAGCGGAGTTTCGTGCGGAGAGATTTGCACATGCTCAGCATTAGTAAAAACCCCAAACGTTTTTTTTTCTTTTTTACTTGCAATTAATTAGTGCTTTGTATTCGTCTTGCTGCGGCTGCGGCAGCCTCATACATTTTTGCTCGGTGCGACCAGCGGAGACGGCTCAAACAACGTCAACGCCCTTCACCGCCTCCGAGACCTTGACGAAGCCAGCGATGTTGGTCACATTCACGTAATTCGTCGTGTTGCCCTCAGTGCCGTACTTCACGCACGCGTCATGGATGGAGTTCATGATATCGTGGAGTTTTTTGTCCACCTCCTCCGCGGTCCATCCCAGGCGCATGGCGTCCTGCGTCATCTCTAGGCCAGAGACGGCAACCCCACCGGCGTTGGAAGCCTTCCCGGGGGCGAACAGGACGCCGGCATTGATGAACTCCGTGGTCGCCTCCATCGTCGTCGGCATGTTCGCGCCCTCCGCAACGGCGCTGACGCCGTTCCTGATCAGGTTCCTTGCATCCTCAAGCTCCAGCTCGTTCTGCGTCGCGCACGGCAGCGCAATA